AAGGGATTCACGGTCCGCCACATTCACACTTCAAAGATTCCAGCTTTTCAAGATCATCAAGCTTAGTTAAATTACGGCAGCAAGTAACCTCCAACCTTGTCCAGAATGCCAAATCCCCAAGGCCTTGAATCTCACTAAGCTCAGAACTTTCACAAAGTGATCATTCTGATAACCAATTCAAGTTTGAAAAATCTGGCAATTTCTGAAATGAAATATGATCCCCGATGCTCAGATTATCAGGCTTGAGGGAAGCTTTGGGAGGCTTTGCAGTTCAATGCATTCTTCAATAGCAAGTTCCTTGAGCCGAGGAAGGGTGCTAGTCTCCTCGCGCAAGGTGCTTATCTTTGTTTTAGACAGCGTCAGCTTCTCCAGCTTGGTCAACTTACTGATGTCCTTATAAACTTCTTTGAACTAGACGCATTTAATGAATGCCAGTTCCTTCAAATTAATCAGGTCTGACGGGTGTGAAATTGTAATCATCGATGAGTAAAAGCGACGGTTTACCAAGCCAGATGGAATCTGGGAAAGGGTCTGGAGCTTTTTTAACCCAGCCAAGTCAAGAGTTTGGAAGACGAGATAGCCTGCCAATGCTTTCTGGAAGAAGAATAATATCCGTGTGATCATGTCTCAAGATGCTCAAAGGATGACAAGCCAACAGCAGAAACGTCTCCCTTCAAGCACTCACACTTTGAGGCATTTATCAGAGCTTTTCTAGCATTTGAACAGCGCCTGGTAAATCTGTTCCATTGATATTATTAATATCAAGCACTTCGAATTTACTTAAGTTTCCAACAGAATCAGGTAATTTACCAACTCCTGCGGGAGATAAGCTCAGCTCAACTACGGATTTCAACTGCCCAATGGAGCCCGGAATTTTGGTCAACGACTCACACTGGTTCAGTGATATGCAGCTCGGCTTCACCAGAGCTCCAATCGAATCAGGAAGTTCAGTAATAGCAATGGAAATCCAGAACCAGGTCCAAGAGATAAGTTGCTTTGCAGATCGATGCAGGAATCTGAGTAAATGATTCACATTTCCTAGCACTAAGAACTTCAACCTTCTTCATATCTCTACAAATGGGAATCTCCCACAAGAAGTTCGCTTAATGCTCTCAAAGAACCCTACTGTTGAGGCACCTGCTCGAGGCTTTCACAGTTTCTAATATACAAGAAGACCAGAAACTCGACATTCCCTATTGACGGGTCACCAGCAACCAAACAATCTTCCAGAATCAGTCTCTCCAAACTCGGAAACATGCAAAGTACTTATCATGCCCCATTTTTCTTTTTAATTTGACGCCACTATTTTGTCATTTTTTTAAGTAATCATCATTCTTTATTGAGTAAAATTTACTCTAACATTGTATTTTACTACATCTTGTATATGCTCGAACCAAAGTAATTTTATGTTATAATGTTGATTCATGTTGATAATTATCTATATTCTCTCACATAACATAATGCGTATAGTATAATCCAGTATACCATAATCTATTTTTTTCCTTGATATATCGTTTCACATAGCGTCGGTTTTGTTTTGCTACAAATTCTATTACAATCACACAATCAATTTTCCTCTAATTTGTACTTTTTCATTTCTACCACATAAAATGCCGTGCCTAATAAAGTCAATTTTCCTTATATTTACTTTTTTTTTAACATGGATGTTCTTAAAAAAAAGATCTGCGATATTTTTCTCCAACTAGCATTTTTGTTTGCCAGATCATCTCCAACTAGCTTGCTTGATTATTAGCCGTTCCCGTGATTATTATCTGTCCCTCATTTCTGGAAAAAAGAAAAATTAAACTCAACTTGATCATGCAGGTAATCTTGTCAGACAATAATTTTACCATTGGTGGGATGCATTTCGTTGACCAAAAAAGTCAGTCAACTTAATTAGAGACATGTTCATGGTTCCTTTAAGGGAATCTGGGGCCCGCAACTTGGATTTATTTGACATCTGCAAAAGAAAATAAGATTTGCTTGGTATGTCTACCGAAGATCGTATGTTCAGCGTGGTAAAATTCAGAACCAAATATAGAAATATATATGCACGAAAATCGACAGAACTGAAACCAGAGCTGCAGAAAAGATGTTGACAGTTGACTTTTGGGAACGCGCCATGCGGGTTTTGTGGACAACTCGACGCCTTTTAATATTTCTTTCTAGTTAGTTCATTTTTTGTTATGTCGTTTTTATTCAGACTTCGTGGGCAGAACTGGATGCGACTCATCGGCCACTGGACATTTCTTTTGTTAGGGCGCTGGCTAATGGTCCTGGGATACAGTGCAAGATACTCAAATCGTTGTGTATGTTCTCTTAAAACCATACTGACATTTAGCAGAAAATGTGAGTGAATTTGAAATGATCAAGGGTCACGGAATCTGAGCACGAAAAATTAAAACAAGCATATTGTCGCTGTCCGACCCGAGAGAGAAAATAACGCCAAACAAGTCACTTATCCCTCCCTCTAGGGGCATAAAAAAACCTTGTCTGGATTCGCACCGACAGACTCGGCTTATCTCGCATTGTTTATGTAAACCTTATTTAGGGCCCACATGAGACCCAATCGCCGGATCTAGCTCCCGAGGCATTCTACAATAAAAACCTAGAGCTTTATAGAGAGAAAAATAACTGCACCATATATGTTCATATTTACACTCAACTTTTTCGCACACAAATTTTAGCATAAGTTACTCTAAGCGTGGAACTTGATATAAAAAGAAAAGACCAAATACCTGTTGACATCGAAATTTTTCCTATAGATCCAACATTCATTTCACATTTTCAAAAATTATTTGTTCTTTCTACCACATAAAATGTCTTGCCTAATAAGTCAATTTTACTTATGTTTACAAGCATAATTATTTTCTCATTCTCATGGAGTTTACTTTTACAACTTATTACTAGTTATAAATGATACTTATGATTTAATTTTTCAAGAATACTCTTTCTCTTAAAGTTTTCTTGAGAGAAAAGAAAAGATTTCTCCCTATTCTTGAGAGAAAAAAAAAAGATTTATCCCTATCACATGATTGCACTACATGTTTTTTAGTTTTTACTACGTATGTAAAATATCATGAGATTTCTGCCTATCACATGATTTCTCCCTAATGGAAGGGCTTTTCTACAAAATTTGACAATATTTAGACTTGATTGCAATTTTAAAAAGCATTAGAACTCAATTGCACTTTGCAACAAAATTTTAGGATTACTGGTGCACTTATAAAAAATTTAAGGAAAGAAATTTAAATAATCAAAAAGACATTGAATGGCTTTGGTTTCCCTCTGAGATGCTTTCCACACCCCATACATTGTCATTGTACATTATGTATACGGGTCAAGAAATGTTAATGCAACAAGTCTGAGAACCAAAAATGATAGATGGCAATGACTAGTGTATGATCCACTCTCTTGATGATTGAGATGATGATGCATGATCCGGAAAATAGTAGATTATCTTGCCTACTTTAACAACATATCAACATACATTAGATGAAATAAGAAAAACTACAATCAGCGTGCTTTTATTTTGCGAAAAATCAACGATTTGAAAAATATTTTTTTAAAATTGATCGAGGGTATCACATACAAAAATGATTTAACTAAAATATTTTCATCATTAACAAAAATATTTAGAAATAGATTGTTATTGATAATGAAAATCCATTGACTAATTTTTATAAGCAATACAAACAATTATTCTTATGAACATGCCCCGAAACAAACGCACGAGTGTTGCAAACAATATGTCTTTGGCGAGTCCTTGTTAGTGCTCTTTGTCAGGAAAAAAACTCATTGTTGGAACAAATTTGCCCGGAGAGAATGACTAGATGACCAAAATCTATCTGAAGAAAGTCCACAGATGGAGAACAGTTGATTCACTCTCCCTTATCCACCGTTTTAAAATGCAAAACTTAAAAATTGTTCGATTTATGACGAATTTTTTAAACATATCTTTTTTCTATAAAAACTTGTTCCTGTCGATGGAGATTTGATTCACTATAATAAATGCTTTTAACGCACTTTATTCTTAGAGGATTCATCAACCCGGCCTATTTAAATCCCTAGATTTATGAGAATGTCCATAATGATACATATTTACATGTAAACTCAAACATTGACCGCATGGCACACATAAAAGTAGAGCTTAGCATGTCAAGGCTCAAAATGTGCTCCAAGTGAATCAACCCAACATTCAGACCTCCCATGAAACCTGACGATCTTTTTACCGGTTGATGGAAAAGAAAAGTACTTCCCGGTCTCTATACCGAATGGCCCAAAAGTTCTTTCATTGCTCTGAAATGAGAGGGAGCGAACAACAATACGCCCACGAAAACATCCAAAGTGTCCAGAAAATGAAGTCAAGTACTCTCGAGGATAATCAAGTTTAATCTGCAAAATTAGAAAGACAAACATATTTAATCCCAACCCCCCAACTATAGAATCTCGAAAATCAGCATAAACAGAACACTCTGGTTGATAAGTTGTATTTGGTTAAACAAACAATGTAATAGCTAAATAGATAATTCTGCTGCATCTAGAGCACAAGACCTATTTTGGTCTGCCACAGTTATCAAATCATTCGTCTATAAAACGAAAGGCAATTGCTTAAAAAATCTCTGGCAATATTCTTTGAGAACAGTTACTAAAATTAAGGAAAATTGTTTAGACTTAAAAATCATATAGTAAAATTACTTTATAATATTCTTTTTTTTTCCTTTTTCGGAGGCAGTACTTTTCTATGATGATATTCCATCATGCCCCGACAATGACTTTCTCAGAGGATAATTCTCATTTCAGATCATTTGCCAATCTAAACTCAAAATCTGCGGACTGTTCTCATATCTTACTTTGACCTCTACGCTCTATTTGGAATACTGTCACGCTCCTGTGCATAAACGTGACCTCCAAACCACATAAAACCAAAACCTGGCAACAGCACAGAAGTTGCACGTTCATAAGATCATGAAGTAAATGTCTAGAGGCCATACCTCGAGTGTTAGAGATCCTCCGTCTCCCCCATGTTTAGGGCCCTGAACCACAGACCCATTCTTGTCGTATTCAACAGTAATGGAGTCAATAACTAATCCACCTTTTATAGTTATTTTTCTCACACCCGTGCTATCTCCATCGTCCCATGGACCGCCACATTGTCCTCCAAATGGCCCAAAGGATTTCAAGAGATGAAGATCAGAAATTGGTTCAGAGTAGACTCCTAGCGCATCAAGTTGGACGTACGTCAGACCTTCCGTGGAAGCCAATTATCTGGCTGCATGTCAATCCACAGCTAAAGAAGCTTCCTTCCTCCTTACCAAAGGGTCCATGCCTTCTTACGTTGCTTTCGAACGTGAGTGATTGAATAACAGAATTATCATGTCTAATATAACCTGACATGGAGGTCAAGAATTCACGAGGGTAGTCCAAGTTAACCTGCAGAATTAGCAATTTAACCGTCATATTGATCTATATCAAAGATGATAGATAGCCTGCAGTGGCCTAAGCAAACATGGCAGTCACGAACAACCTAGAAGTTTAATTCTTAGACCCAAGAATTTCTTAAAACTAATGTATGGATGGACTACTATTCTTGCAGCATACTTTTAGGGGAAAAGTGTCAAAAAAGTCTTAAACCGTTTGCATTGGTGCCAATTTAGTCCTAAACCTTTTTTTTAGTGCTAATTTAGTCATAAACCTTTTGCATTGGTGCCAATTCAGTCATAAACATTTTGCATTAGTGCCAATTTAGTCCTGAACCTTTTTTTGGTGCCAATTCAGTCATAAACCTTTTGCATTGATGCAAATTCAATCCTTTGACACGTGAATAGCTATTAGCCGGAAGGATTGAATTGGCATCAATGCAAAAGGTTTAGGATTGAATTGGCACCAGAAAAAGGTTTAGGACTAAATTGGCACCAAAAAAAGGTTTAGGATTAAATTGGCATCAATGCAAAAGATTTAGGACTTTTTTGACACTTTTCTCGTACTTTTAGGGTCAACAATCGAAGATGATAGACCATTGGGTTCTCTGGCGCACTTTGCCGATTCACTTCCTTTAGCATTAGAAAAACTTATCATACTGGATCACTCTCATTGAGTCCATCTCGCATAAAGCATATCGATTGACCTTTGTGTAATGTACAAAACAAAAATTACAGGAAGCAATTTAAATGATCAAAAGATAACTTCAATCATTCAGTACATTTGGATGGTTTTCATTTCCCTCTAGGAAGCTTTCCACAACCCATACTTTATCATTGTACATCATGCATACAGGTTACTATCACTCGCAATTTACTTTGATAAAGGTTCTCAAGTTTATTAGAAAACTAATACTCGATCTAATGGTGGCGTAGGGTGGTGGTAGGTGCCTATGACCCTCACCATACCTTACCGCACCGCATAAAAACATTCCTTCTAAAGTAGCTATTAATATCAATAAGAAAACTCTATTATAGTTTACGGATAGAGGATTACATAAAGTGAATGTAGAAAATAAGAAATTGAAAGATTTCGATGAAATTGTTCGTTTGCAAATTTCCTGAAAAGATTATCATAGGCTCTTCTTTCCATTGGAACAATAGGGCTTTTATGCTTGTTACTAAACTTATTGAAGAGACGAAATATGACCAAGGCATATCTTTTTTTTGTTAGAGGTTGGATCAATCATCAAAAGAAGGATTAGGCAAAAAATTAGGATACATTCTGGAAAATAAAACTTCCATTCAAAGAGAAGCTAATGAAAGGCTTTCCCAAAAGTTCTCGTAGATTCGATAAGGAGGTTTGTGCAGGCACGCGCGTGCGTGAGAGAGAGGATCAATCGTAATATGAATGGAAAATATGCAATGAACTCACCATATGGATATCTCCATTGACACTGTGACCATGTGTAGAGGACCAAATAGACTCGCCATTATCGTCATACTCAAAGTAGATGCAGCTGACAACATCTTCTAGCATCATCCTTATTTTCTTTACACCATTAAATTTTCCATCGTCCCAATGGTGTCCACCTTGGCCTCCAAATGGTCCAATAAACTCGATCGGATATAGATGAGAGATTGGTTCGAAATATGCTCCAAGAGATTCAAGATGGGAATCAGAACTCCCATAAAATCCAATGATCTTTCCCCCAGTGGCTGGAAATGAAAACTTCCTTCCAATTTCAGTGCCGAATGGTCCGTATGTGCTTTTATTGCTTTGAAATGTGAGTGAATGGATGATAGTCGAGCCAAAATCACTTGTAATATAGCCCGACACTGAAATTAGGTACTCAATTGACCAGCCCAGATTTATCTGTAACAATCATTAGAATGTGAGGAATAGTTAATGCAACAACTTGAAAAACAAAAACATTACGCATGGTAGTAATTTGCACTATCATGTCGTATATCTCATACAAAAAGCAAAAATCATTATTCTAAATAATAGGTAAATGTGCATGAGTGGAAAAAGAAGAAGATGATGATCTTGCTAAATTCACTATCATGTCGTATATCTCATACAAAAAGCATATACTCTTTGAGTTGCACATGAGATATCATTGGTAATATTGTGCAATTTCGAAATTAACTTATCACTTGTGTTTCATAAAATAACTCATTAGAATAAAGACATCTGAGAATCACAATTAATTATTCCAATAAGTCATTATGGAAACAACTCATTCACGCAAAGCAACATTCACAAGCACACAGAAATCATCGATCTTGAAACACAAATAAATTGTGATCGAATAATTTTTCACTTTCATTATGTTACACATCCCACTGTTATATTTCCCGGATGAGTTATAATTATGGTGGTTCAACTTGGCCATGTTTTAAACATTAGCGACTAATGATTTCTACCTACGCATTATGTCTTCAGGACATTCCATTATGAGCTGCACGAATCAGAAATAAAAGGAGTAGCTTTCATCTAACACCGAGAGCAACAATTCATTACTCGAATAGCACCGGTACCTTGTTTGTTGTGCCTCCACCACTTGTACCATGTGCAAAAGAATGACCTTGCTCGTAAGTAATAGTAATCGACTCAATTGCAGAACCAGAAACAACATCAGTTTGTCTGACATCTGTATGCTTGCCGTCATCCCACTGGTCTTCACAATTCCTATTTCCAAATGGGCCTACGACTTCGAAGGGATATGCACGAGAGATCGGTAAAAGATATGCTCCAATGGAATCAAGAGAACAGCCACACCTCCCAAAAAACCCGATGATCTTCCCAGCAACCGGTGGGAAACTGAAAAATTTCCCGCTCTCATTGCCAAATGGACCATATGTTCTCCTATTGCTGTGGAAGGTAAGTGATTGAATGACGGCACATCCACATTCGTCTTTAATGTAGCCTGACACAGAAGTCAAGAACTCATTTGGATAATCTAATTTTACCTGCAAGAAATGAATATTCCCAAAACTAATGATATTTGACTATTTTGAGGACTTAAAAAAGTACTTCAACAGGGATATTGCACGAGCACTTGCAATCCTTCTCTCAAAATCAATTTGTTAGTCTCATTAAACGCATATTGCAATCATTCGACTCCATCTTAAAACCCTGATTTTTGCATAAACAGATGGAGTTCAAAGCAAAATCAAAATCTTTGATAAATCCTACATCAAGACAAGTATATAAAAACAACAAAACTCTTTCTTTTCTTTTTTCTGTGCAAACGTCGAGAATTTGGGAGATCATGAAGCATTGTGGACCAACCCCGTTGAATCCTTTTAAGCAATTTACCTTTGATATAGACTCTTATTTTCTATTGACCAAACAATAACTCATAATTTGATGGGGAGTAGCATAAGTAGACATATATATATTTATATATAGGCAAAGGTCCACCATGTCTTGGCATAAATATTTACAAATATATGCCATAACATACCACAACAGTGGACTCACCGTGCATATTTTGCCTTCCTCAGGTCCACCGTGTCTTGGCGAGCGGACCAAAGACCCATTCTGATCATACTCAATATGAAAGGACTCAATCACTGATGTTACAACTACAGTAATATTTCTAATATCGGTGAATGTGTTATCATCATAAGAACACCCACCACAACCTCCATATGGCCCGACGGATTGAAAGGGAAGAACAGAGGAGAATGGTTCTAAAGGTAATCCAACTGAATCAAGATGAGGGTCTCTCACCAACTTCTCCAATATCTCATGCCACTGTTTTTTTCTCTTCTTAGAGAGGAAGGAACCAAATTTTTTAAGAGCTATTGGAAGTCCACCAGTGTAGTGGACAAGACTCTCTGACTATTCTCTATAGCCTTCTTCAGGATGGTCTTTGCAGAAGGCATGGCGACTCAAGAGTTGGAGCGATTCTTTACGAGTCAATCCTGGGAACATGTACTTGTTATCTACTTTCAGATCTTCCAACAACTGCTCATCTCTTGTAGTTATCAAAATTCTACTCCCATATTGGAACCATTCACGATCTCCAGCTCCGAAATACTCAATTTGGTCCTTCTTAGTGATGTTATCGAGAACTACAAGGATCTTTTTCCGACAGAGCTTAGTTTTTATCTCGTTGATGCTGCTGTTAATATCAAACATTTCTAGACCTTGAACCTTCATAACATCATGGAGAAGTCTCTTCTGAAGAAGTAAAAGAGTATCTTGGTTTGCACCTCCAACATTTTCGAGTAAGCTAACGCCTTCAAATTGCCTAAAAACACGATCACAGACAACTTTGGCCACCGTTGTCTTACCAATTCCTTTCATTCCCCATATTCCAACCACACGGACATCATCCTTTGACCCAATTTCCAGCAACGATCTCACATCCTCTACAAAGGAATCTAGCCCAATAGCATTTTTGACAAAATAGGGGGAGATTGATCTAGGACTGACCCTGAAGAGATGTCCTACAATTTGCTCGATGAAGTTTGATTGATCCCTGTAGTTGCATAGGAAGAACAAGTCCGATATGAGCAACTACATCATAGAGAGGCTATCAGCAGATGAGCAGCAAACGCATGAACTAAACTCAATCGATATCATATTTTAAATCGACCACTACTATGAGCTTTTTCGGCAGTGAACTTATTAAACGCATTACTCATTAGCATCATTATTCAAATGCAATCCCGATATATTGCCAGCTTCTTTAAGCGCATCCCTCCACTTCTGCATCAGCAAATCATCCCGGTGGGTGGCCATACACCTTCCGAAACCATCCCCGAATCTCCCGCTCTGTTTCCGGACGTCCCCTGGCTCAACATCATAGAAAATGGGCAGAACCACGTGACCCTGACGATCTCTGAACCTCCTGTTGCACTCCAGGATCTCCACCAGCTCGTTCAAGCACCACCATGAGTCGGCATAGTTGGTGGTGAACACGATGAGGGCAACCCTAGAGTGGCGAATTGCGTCGAGCAGCTTGGGCTCGATGAAAATCCCGGTGTCCACTTTGTCATTGTCACTGAAATAGCAGATCCCAGCCTGCCTCAGCGCGTGGAAGAGGTGGGCCGCGAAGGTCTTCCTTATGTCCTCGCCTCTGAAGCTCAAGAACACATCATACTTCCATTGGTGGATCGAAGCAGAAGACGAAATGCATCGCTCGATCTCTTCGGTTCCCATCAGCACAGTCCGTGATTGAGTGAGAGACTGCGGAAAAGGTTGCAACTCTTCCTTGCAGGTAAGGTGTAGATGTAAAGAGGAGGCGCAAGTTGCGAATGAGAAGAAAGGATGAATGATGGCTCTGCCATCAGGACAGACTGATTATTCAATTGCATGTTCGGAGAAGTTGCGGGTGGAGTTGGTTTGGTTCAAAGAACACATGAAGCAAATTGCTCGCTTGAGGACAATTTGGTTTGAATTCGTCAAGTCAAGCTAAAAGAGCTTTTGTTTCACGCGACATAGATATGTCTGAAAACGCAGACACGGATTTGAAGCTTCAGCACACGCGTTGTAGAAGAAGATGCTTCGAATCAGTTAATTTGTGTTTTCTTTTTGTCTTTTGAAAGCGAAGATATGGGAGGGAGAGATAAGATGAGAAATGATTAGTTGATGATAGACGGACAACCGTTTTGACTGTTTGGACAGTTGAACTTTTCGAGGGAACAAAAGAACAGGGACGTTCTATGGTTTTCGTAAAAGTGTTGGCTACGGAGTGGTCCCGTTTTCAACATGGACGGTCGTTGTTGGAAATAAAAGGAAAGAGTCGTCTGTCCGATCGGTTTTGGAAAACCTAATTTGTTATCCTAACTTATGGACGTCAAAGGAAGTGATGGTCGTATGTGAACGTGATCAAAGTCGTTTTCGATTAGGAAAAGTCATGATTGGTAAAGAAAATTACTCACCCAAATCTTTAAAAGTTACAATCGATTAGACATCTTGCTAATATTAACGTAAATGAAGTTTACTCTTACTTTACGTATATATTATTATTTTTCGTGAAATATTACGAATCATAGGACTAGAGATGCTTGGAGTATGAAAGGTAAAATTGGCACAACAATTAAAGCGGAAGGTTTTTTAGGATATTATCTAAATAAAATCTAGGTTAGATAAAATCTTCTAATTGAATTGCATGACATATAGTTACGTTTTCATTTAAATAAGAGAAAACCCTAAAAAAAATGATTTGAGTGGGATTGCGTTTTAATTAAAAACCATAGTTAGATTGAAGATGTGTGTTTCTAATTTGTGTTGCTTCGAGGTAAGTAAATTTCCACCTTACCCTTGCAATTTGTGTATCGCTTTGATTATTGTGCATCTCTTACAGTTTTCTTGAGAGAAAAGGAAAAATTTCTCCCTATCACCTTATTGCAATACATATTTTTTACTACGCATATAAAATATCATGAAATTTCTCCCTATCACATGATTTCTCCTTAGCAGAGGGACTTGATTGTATTAATTGAACAAAATTTAGACTTGATTACACTTTTTAAAGGCTCCGAACTCGATTGCACTTTATAATAAGTTTTAAGATTATCGGTGCATTTAGATAAAAAAAAAGGAAAGAAATTTAAATAATAAAAAAGACAACTGCAATCGTAGAGTACATTTGAATGGCTTTGATCTGCCTCAGATATGCTTTCCACAGCCCATAGATTGTCATTGTACATTATGAATACGGGTCAACAAATGTTAATGAAATAAGTCGAGAAGCAAAAGTGATAGATGACTATGAGTAGGGGATGATCCACTCTCGTAATGATTGAGATGGTGACGCATGATCTGGAAAATAGTAGATTATCTTGCCTATTGTAACAACATATCAACATACATTAGATGAAATAAGAAAAACTACAATCCCCATGCTTTTATTTTGCGAAAAATCTACGACTCAAAAAATATATTTTTTAAAATTGATCGAGGGTATCGCATACAAAAATGATTTAACTAAAAGATTTTCATCATCAACAAAAATATTTAGAAATAGATTATTATTGATAATGGAAATCCATTGACTTATTTTTATAAGTGATACAAACAATTAATTTTATTAACATGTTTTCCAAATCATTAACATGCCCTGAACCAAACGCACGAGCGTTGCAAACAGCATGTCTTGGGCGAGTCCTTGTTAGTGCTCTTTGTCAGGAAAAAAAACTCGTTGTTGGAACAACCATGCCCAGAGAGAATAACTAGATTTATATGCAGAAAGTCCACAGATGGAGAACAGTTGATTCACTCACCCTTTATCCGCCGTTTTAAAATGCAAAACTTAAAAAGTGTTCGATTTATGACGAATTTTTTTAAACAAATCCTTTTACTGTAAAAACTTGCTTCCCGTCGATGGCGTCATACCTAAGCTACGAGGTTAGTTGATGAAGATTTGATTCACTATATTAAATGCTTTAACAAGGATACATCAAACAAACCTATTCAAAACTCTAGAGAATGTCCGTGATGATAGATATTATACATAAACTCAAACATTGACTGCATGGCACACATAAAGGTAGAGCTTAGCATGTCAAGGCTCAAAATGTGCTCCAAGTGAATCAAGCCATAGTCCAGACCTCCCATGAAACCCAACAATCTTTTTACCGATTGATGGAAAATAAAAGTAGTTCCCGATCTCCCGACCAATTGGCCCATAAGTTCTTTCGTTGCTCTGAAATGTGAGGGAGTGGACAACAATATGCCCGCATAAAGATCCAAAGTGACCAGAAAATGAAGTCAAGTACTCTCGAGGATAATCAAGTTTAATCTGCAAAATAATGAAGACAAACATATTTAATCCCAACCCCCTAACCGTATAATCTTGAAAATCAGCATAGAAAAAACACTCTGGATGATAAGTTGTATTTGGTTATACAAACAATGCAATAGCTAAATAGATAATTCCCCTGCATCTAGAGCATAAGACCTATTTTGGTCCGCCACAGTTATCAAATCATTTGTATGTAAAATGAAAGGCAATTGCTTAAAAAATGCTCTGGCATCTCTTTGAGAACAGTTACTAAAATGAAGGAAAATTGTTCTCAGACCTATTTTTTTTTTTTCTTCCTTTTTCGGAGGCAATACTTTTCTGTGATGATATACATCATATGCCCCAACAATGACTTTCTCAGAGGATCATTCTCATTCCAGATCATTTGCCAATCTAAACTGAAAAATCTACGGACTGTTCTCATATCTTACTTTCACCTCTATGCTCTATTTAGGATACTGTCACACTCCTGTGCATAAACGTGACCTCCAGACCACTCAAAACCAAACCTTAGCAACAACACAGAATTTGCACGTTCATAAGATCATTAAGTAAATGTCTAGAGGCCATACCTCGGGTGTTAGAGATCCTCCGTCTCCACCATGTTTAGGGCCCTGAGCCACAGACCCATTCTTGTCGTACTCAACAGTAATGGAGTCAATAACTAATCCAGCTTTTACAATTATTTTTCTCACACCCGTGCTATCTCCATCGTCCCAAGGACCGCCACCTTGTCCTCCAAATGGCCCAATGGATTTCAAGAAACGAAGATCAGAAATTGGTTCAGAGTAGACTCCTAGTGCATCAAGCTGGACGCCAGACCTTCCGTGAAAGCCAATAAGCTTGCTGCATGTCAATGCACAGCTAAAGGAGCTTCCTTCCTCCTTACCAAAGGGTCCATGCCTTCTTATATTGCTTTCAAACGTGAGTGATTGAATAACAGAATTATTTTGTCTGATAAAACCTGACACGGAGGTCAAGAACTCACGAGGGTAGTCCAAGTTAACCTGCAGAATTAACAAGTATTTATCGCATTTAACTGTCACATTGATCCATATAAAAGATGATAGAAAGATTATAATGGCCTAAGAAAACACTGCATCCACGTACAACCTAGACCCGAGAATAAGATAATAGATCATTAGGGTTCTCTGGCGCGCTTTGCTGATTCGCTTCATTTAGCATTAAAAAAGAACTTATCATACTAGGTTACTCGCATGGAGTCCACCTTGCATAAAGCATATTAATTGACCAAAAACTTATCGTACTGGGTTGCTCTCATGGAGTCCATCTTTGCATAAAGCATGTTATTGACCTTTGTGTAATGTATAAAATAAAAAGGGATGAGTATATGAGAAGTCCTAAAACTTGTCAAGAAAGTACAATTGAGTTCTAAAACATTCGAAAAATGCAATCAAGTTCTAAAACTTGTCAAATTAGTACAATCAAGTTCTGAAATTCGAGCTTGTGACCCTGGCCTTTCAAGCTTTGTTGAGCTTGGCCCTGGGCGCTCGAGCTTCTTTAAGCTACTCGAGTTTCATCGGCAGCTCCAGCTTCCAGGCTTCTTCAAACTCATGCCCATGGCTAATCAAGCTTCTATGAGCTCAGACATGACCGCTCGAGCTTCTTCGAGCTCACATCCATAACGGCTCAAGCTTTGTCGAGCTTGGCCATGGCCGCTCAAGCCTTGTCGATCTCTGCGGTCATGGCCGCTCAAACCTCATCGAGCCAATTTTATGATTTTTTTTGCGTGTTTTTCTATTGAAACTTGGCAGATCTTCTGCATTGTGCTAGGGATCATGTTGTGTTTTGCTTATGTCTCTATCATAACTATGGGAAGCGTTCAGTTTTTTATGGCAATAATTTCATTGGATCATTTCCTATTAACAGGCAATTATATGCTTAGGTTATTTCAATGGATATTTATGTGTTTTTCGATTATAAATTGCGCAGTTTTAAAATTTGTCCTTCAAAGTATGATTTCTTTTGGCTGACTGTGAATTTGATAAAAAGATAGTTCCAAAGGACTCTCTAATCCTCTTTACTTTTTCTTTTTCTTTTTTTGAATTTTTTTTATCTTTTGATTGATTTGTTTTTTAATTTTCAATTTTTTTCTAATGTGGCACTTTGTGGGTGCCCCATGTTTTAAGAAAGTAATAAAAAAAGATTCATCAGCATTTTTCCTTAGCCTAATTGGACAAAACTAATGGAGATTGCCCCAATTTAACTAGATTTAGACCTTGACCAAAAAAAAAAACCAAGATTTAGACTTGATTGCACTTTTTAAAAACTTTAGAACTCAATTGCACTTAGCAACGAGTTTTTTGGATTTTCTGCTGCACTTATCCCAAAAAAAATTAAGGAAAGAAATTTACATAATAAAAAAGACAACCTCAATCATTCAGTACATTTGAACGGCTTTGATTTCCCTTCTAAGATGCTTTCCACACCCCATACGTTATCATTGTACATTATGCATATGGGTTACTATCACAAATAACTAAATTCGATAAAACTTTTCAAGTTAATTAGAAAAACTAATAATTGATATAATAGTTGCACAGAAATGTGTTCGTGTGTGTGCGTGTGTGTGTGTGTGTGAGAGAGAGAGAGAGAGAGAGGATCAAAGGTAGTATGAATGGAGAATATTCAATGAACTGACCATATGGATATTTCCGTTTTCGTGACCATGTGCAGACGACCAAATAGATTCGCCATTATCGTCATACTCAAAGGAGATGCAGTT